AAGTCCAATTTCATCAATAATTATGATTGAAAATTTCTTAATTTAGTCAAAATAATAGTCTTAAATTGATTTCTTTGCAACATGGAAGTAATTCCAATTTAATTAATCTTTATAATTGAAAATTTCATAATTTAATCAAAATAATTGATTTTAAATTGATTTTTTTTTTCTCAAATTGAAATAAGTCCAATTTCATGAATATTTATAATTGAAAATTTCTTAATTTAGTCAAACGAATAGTCTAAATTTATTTATTTTTTGCCACATGGAATTAAGTCGAATTTCATCAATAATTATGATTGAAAATTCCTTAATTTAGTCAAACTAATAGTCTTAAATTTAATTTCTCCCCACGTACATGTAAGTCCAATTTCATCAATATTTATAGTTGAAATTTTTTTATTTTAGTCTAAATAATAGTATTCAATTTATTTTTTCTTTACCACATGGAATTAAATTCAAATAATTAAATGAAAATAAGTCCAATTTCAACAATCTTTATGATAGAAAATTGATTAATTTAGTCAAAATAATAGTCTTATTTTTTTTCTGCCAAGTGGTATTAAGTCCAATTTCGTCAATATTTATGATTGAAATTGAATCCAAATGGAATTAAGTCCAATTTCATCAATGATTATGATTAAAAATTGATTAATTTAGTGAAAATAATAGTTTTAAATTGATATTTTTTTATCACAAATTGAAGTAATTCCAATTTCATTAATAATTAGGATTGAAAATTTCTTAATTTAGTAAAATTAATAGTCTTAAATTCAATTTCTCCCCACCTATATGTAAATCTAATTTTTTCATTCTTTATAATTGAAAATTGTTTAATTTTGTCAAAATAATAGTCTTAAATTTATATTTGTTTCACAAATTGAAGTAAGTCAAATTTCATCAATGATTATGTTTGAAAATTGATTAATTTAGTCAAAATAATAGTCTAAAATTTACATTTTTTTTTACAAATGGAAGTAAGTTCAATTTAATTAATAATTATGATGAAAAATTACTTAATTTAGTCGAAATGATAGTCTTAAATTTATTTATTGTTTCCCAAATGAAAGTAAGTCCAATTTCATTAATCTTTATCATTGGAAATTTCATAATTTAGTCAAAATAATAGATTTTAAATTGAGTTTTTTCTCAAATTGAAGTAAGTCCAATATCATCAATAATTTTAATTGAACATTTCTTAATTTAGTCAAAATAATAGTCTTAAATTTGATTTTCTTACGAAATTAAAGTAATTCCAATTTCATTAATAATTTTGATTGAAAATTCCTTAATTTAGTCAAAATAATAGTCTTAAATTCAATTTCTCCCCACCTACATATAAGTACAATTTCATCAATCTTTTTAATTGAAAATTGATTAATTTAGTCAAAATAATAGTCTTAAATTAATTTATTGCCACGTGGAATTAAGTCCAATTTCATCAATCTTTTTAATAGTAAATTTCTTAATTTAGTCAAAATAATAATCACAAATTTAATTTTTCTATTTTATAAAGACCTAAATCTTATAAATAATAAAAAAATAGATAAAAATAGACTGACTTTTGGACAAAAAATTATATCTAATATAAGAACAATTGAAAAGTGTTAATTTCAGAACTAATAACGATTATCAAACTTATTGTTTTTCTGTTAAATTACATTAATTAACTGAAAATGTTTTACAAATTTGTTTTAAATAATAAATAATTTAAAATTTGTATAACCAAACATAAAGTTAACAAGATTTCATAATGTATGATAACAGCAGCATCGTTAAGTTCGAAACATGTTTACATAGGACAGTATATGTAAATTTAATATAGACATATAAAACTATCATTAACGTGTTTATCCCAACAGTTTATATAGCATCTAAAGTTATCAGTTGAGTAATTATTTGCTACACTTAAAGTGGTGAAACATTAAAGTGATAATGGGAAGTTATATTTGACACTACCGATAAATATTTGAATTAGATAATTAGATTTAATCAATTTACTACGCAAATCTAAAAGCATTCACTTTATTGTATAATACTAATAATAAAATGTTGAAATATCAATTTTGCACTTGAATCTTTAAAGTCTTCACTTTAAATCTCTTAATTTTATAATTATGTGTAGAGAAATTTTATTTTGTTTGTAAATCATCAAGTTAATTAACTAAATATGTTTGTGTGATGTAAGATATTAATGTTATAATATGAAACTGGCTTGCTTCTAAATATGGAACGTAAAATCAATGTTATTAAATTATACGACGTCGTTTAATGGGCATTTTTTGTTTGCGAAAATAATCAAATTTCATTCTCGTAATGGCCAATAACGAGGCTCGTTATATCCAAGCGCATAATCCGTATATAACGAATCACTCTGTAACAATTCCAGCTCTATACTTCAATCTCTTATTTTTCGTTGCAGATTCGAGTTTGTACGCGCATTACGTGTTCAAAGCCTTCGATGTTAACTGCAACGGAGCAATTAGTTTCAGGGTAAGTGCAAATAGGGCGAAGTGGGTAAATATCGTTGAATTAGTGTACATAAAACATCCGCATAGTGGCGCATTCCGTCCTCGATCGAATACCGATGATGACAGCGAGGTGAAATCCTGAAACATTTGTCGACCTCACAAGAAACATTCTTCGTCCTCACAAGAAACATTCTTCGTCCTCCTTCCACAAATTCGTCCTCATCCCTTCAATTTAATTGGCCGCGGTGGCAGCTGTTGCGGACCCTTAATTCAATCAGCGTTATGATTATTGATTCAGAACGCTTTTCAACGCTAATGCGAAAACAAAGCCTCCGGGACATAGTTCACCTCAAAAACATCGACCTTTCAACTTTACGATCAACCTTTTACACCTTCGCCTCTTCCCAAACTTCAGAATGATCGAACACCATGATTTATATGCACACGTAATCAATGATCTGACAATTACTGTCAACATTTTACAGTATCAATTTTAAAAATCGATCTTTCACATCATCAAACTCACATTTTCATATTGAAAACTTTCAGTTATTCAGCTCATCTCATACAACAGTAATAATTCATATAATAAATCTATTAAGTCATTACTTAAATGTTGTAGTAATTTCAAAATTGGCAGTTTTTTAGCTCTTCTCCCACTATTACTTATAATACTATTTTATAAACCCAAAAGACTTTTTCTAATGTCAATATTTATGATTGAAATTGAATCTAAATGGAAGTAAGTCCAATTTCATCAATGATTATCATTGAAAATTTATTAATTTAGTCAAAATAAGTGTTAAATTTATTTGTTTTTGTCAGAAGGAATTAAGTCCAATTTCATCAATGATTATGATTGAAAATTGATTAATTTAGTGAAAATAATACTCTTAAATTTTATTTTTTTCACACATGAAAGGAAGTCCAATTTCATCAGTAATTATAATTGAAAATTGTTTAATTTAGTCAAAATAGTCTTATTTTTTTCTTCCAAGTATTAAGACCAATTTCGTCAATATTTATGATTGAAATTGAATCCAGATGGAAGTAAGTCCAATTTCATTAATGATTATGATTTAAAATTTCTTAATTTAGTCAAAATAAGTCTTAAATTTATTTATATTTTGTCACAAGGAATTAAGTCCAATGTCATCAATGATTATGATTAAAAATTGATTAATTTAGTCTAAATAATAGTCTTAAATTTATTTTTTTCCCACATGAAAGTAAGTCCAATTTCATCAATAATTATGATTGAAAATTGTTTAATTTAGTCAAAATAATAGTCTCCTTTTTTTCTGCCAAGTGGTATTAAGTCCAATTTCGTCAACATTTATGATTGAAATCTAATCCAAATGGAAGTAAGTCCAATTAAGCCTAAACATAGTTCACCTCAAAAACATCGACCTTTCAACTTTACGATCAACCTTTCAGACCTTCGCCTCTTCCCAAACTTCAGAATGATCGAACACCATGATTTATATGCACACGTAATCAATGATCTGACAATTACTGTCAACATTTTACAGAATCAATTTTAAAAATCGATCTTTCACATCATCAAACTCACATTTTCATATTGAAAACTTTCAGTTCTTCAGCTCATCTCAACCAACACTAATAATTCATATAATAAACGCAACTATTTTACATTTAATTCTATTAAGTCGTTACTTAAATGTTGTAGTAAAAAAATTATTACTTAGGATTATAAAAGAGTATTATCTTTTATAATCCTAAAAGACTTTTTCTTTATAAGTTTCCCAGTTGACAAAATTTCACTTTCAATATGTATGCAAAACTTTAGAGACTTTACAGCGAAAACGCTGTAATATCTACATTACAAAACATCAAAAATTCTCTTCCTCACAACTTTTAATACAACTTTCCACACCTTACATTCTTTCTAGAAACTTAATTAATTTGATAATTCATATTACAATCAAATTAAAAGAATTAGTATAGTTTAAAATCACAATCTTCTTCCTATTTATACTTCTATTACTAAATAATCATGACTTCCGAATGCCAAACATTCACATCCGCAAATTGATTTTACTATTTATACATTTATACAATCCATTTTTATTACCACAACCAATTTCGTTCACTATAAATAGAATCCATGGAAAGACACGAAACGTTTCACTCGGATTACCTTCCCAATTCTTAATTAACATCCATAAATCAACAAAATAAAAGACTGGATCAGATTTTCATTTATTCAATTAAATTTCTTATATCATTCTTCAATATTTTTCTTGAAGTTTCAAATTTCAATTTTTAACAGAAATAACATCTCAGTCAATAAGTTCATAGGATGACTAATAAAACAACAACTTTTGGACAATATTCGACTTTGTTCATCATCTTCAAAAGTGATACATTCATTCCAACGCTTTTCTAACATTTCGATACTTTTCTTGTAAAACGATTTATCTTTCACCCTTTGCTGTCCACTCATCTGGCGACCGATTTAACTCTTGAGTATACTGGTGGATCCAGGTTTCATTCAATGTTACATACCGCATGAAAAATCCTTTTTATTTAGATTGAAAAGCTCCAAACAGTGCTCGGAATCATCAATTCGTTGAGCTTTCTCATGATCAAATGTTCATGCAAAATGGTGAATACACTGCCTTCTGATATCTTGAAGGTGTCAGATATCTCACACAATTTCAATTTACTATCGGATAAAACCATTTTATGGATTTCAGCATCATTTGTATCTGTACGGCCGCAGCAAACCACGTCTCTACCATTTGTCTCAACGGAGAAAAGTCCCCATAACACTTATCAAACCATTGCTTTGCTTGAACGGTATTTTTTTGCATAAAAAAGTAATGTTTTATCAACACACGAAATTCAGATTTTTCCACTGTAACTTGTGAACTAAACTTCAGATTGCCATGAAATTTTGACAAGCGTCGTCTGAAGGTTGGTACTTTCCAAAAATCATATGGATTTGTCGATAGAGGCGCCATCTACACTTATTGAATGAGGTGTTTTAACAAGAATTAAGTTCGATTATATAATAGCTGTTTTCTTAGAGATTTCATCAATATATATATAAATTTGCTTTTTGGGATTGCTTTGCTTGAACAGAATTTTTTCCCATCAAAAAGTAATGTTTTATCAACACACGAAATCAGATTTTTCCACTGTAACTTGTGAACTAAACTTCAGATTGCCATGAAATTTTGACAGGCGTCGTCTGAAGGTTGGTACTCCTAAAAATCATATGGATTTGTCGATAGAGGCGCCATCTACACTTATTGAATGAGGTGTTATAACAAGAATTAAGTTCGATTATATAATAGCTGTTTTCTTAAAGATTTCATCAATATATATAAATTTGCTTTTTGGGATTGCTTTGCTTGAACAGAATTTTTTCCCATCAAAAAGTAATGTTTTATCAACACACGAAATGCAGATTTTTCCACTGTAACTTGTGAACTAAACTTCAGATTGCCATGAAATTTTGACAGGCGTCGTCTGAAGGTTGGTACTTCCTAAAAATCATATGGATTTGTCGATAGAGGCGCCATCTACACTTATTGAATGAGGTGTTATAACAAGAATTAAGTTCGATTATATAATAGCTGCTTTCCTAAAGATTTCATTATATATAGAAATTTGAACGGTATTTTTTCCTATCAAAAAAAGTAATGTTTTATGCAACAAGAAATTTCATTGTTNATTTTAAGGNAACTCACTGTAACTTGTGAATAACTTCAGATTGCTATGAAATTTTGACAGGCGTCGTCTATGAAATTCAGTTTTTTCCATTGTTTTTAAAACCACTGTAAGTTATGAACTAAAGGTCAGATTGCCATGAAATTTTGACAGACTTCGTCTGAATGTTGGTACTTCCTAAAAATCATGGATTTGTCGACAGAGGCGCCATCTACTATGTCATCATATATAAAGAAGAAATTTTGACAGGCGTCGTCTGAAGGTTGGTACTCCCTAAAAATCATATGGATTTGTCGATAGAGCCTCTACTACTTTTTATGAGGTGTTATAACAAGAATTAAGCGTCGTCTGAAGGTTGGTACTCCCTAAAAATCATATGGTTTGTCGATAGAGGCGCCATCTACACTTATTGAATGAGGTGTTATAACAAGAATTAAGTTCGATTATATAATAGCTGCTTTCCTAAAGATTTCATTAGTATATAGAAATTTGAACGGTATTTTTTCCTATCAAAAAAAGTAATGTTTTATCAACACACGAAATTGCCATGAATTGTGACTATGTGCAGTCAGCGTCTCTGAAGGTTGGTACTTCCTAAAAATCATATGGATTTGTCGATAGAGGCGCCATCTACACTTATTGAATGAGGTGTTATAACAAGAATTAAGTTCGATTATATAATAGCTGTTTCTCTTAAAGATTTCATCATAGTATATAAATTTGAACGGTATTTTTTCCTATCAAAAAAAGTAATGTTTTATCAACACACGAAAGATTGCCATGAAATTTTGACAGGCGTCGTCTGAAGATTGGTACTTCCTAAAAATCATATGGATTTTTTGATAGAGGCGCCAACTACACTTATTGAATGAGTTGTTATAACAAGAATTAAGTTCGATTATATTTGCTTTTGGGGATTGGTTTGTATTGATTCTTTGTCAATTTACTAAAGATGTTTACTATATTTGCAGGATTTATTGGTAACTTTATCGACGCTATTAAGAGGTTCGGTGTACGAACGATTAAGATGGACATTTAAGTTATACGACGTGAACGGAGACGGCTGCATCAGCCGCGGAGAACTCGCCGAAGTGGTGGGCGCCGTGCACGAGCTGATGGGTAGGAGGGCGCACCAAGTGGAAGACGACAGGAAAGCCCGAGAGCAGATAGACCGCGTCTTCAGGAAACTGGACCTCAACCAGGACGGCGTCATCACCATCGAAGAGTTCATGGAATCGTGCCTAAAAGACGACGTGATCACGAGGTCGCTGCAGATGTTCGACGCGGTAGTTTGATGACCAAATAGGAGACACGGATGGCACTAAGAAAAGAAGTAGATGATGGAACAACAAATCCAACAACAATAAAAATAAAACAGAAAAAATAATAAAAAATAATTGGTAGTTTCTCCTGTGAATTCATTAAATGTTTTAGGATTTATATAATATGTATATTGAAAAGAGATTTAAGATTTATTCGAATGAGAAGACATTTGTAATTGTAATAATATCTGTGTGCGTTCGCTTTATACCTCTTGTTTGAAAATATTCGAAAAGAACCGAAAGAAGAAAAAAAAAACATAGTAATAATAATAATGATGATGATTATTAAAGAGGGAAGAAAAACCGAGATTGATATTTACTACTTTAAAAAAAAAGAAAATGGAAAATACAAATTATGAATAAAAATGAAAAACATATTTTTGCATTACTGCCAAAATGAACTTTTATAAAAAAAAAATAATAAATAATAAACAATTAAATAAGTGAACAAAAAAAAAAGAAATGAAAATAAAGTTAAGAAAAGCGCGTACATTTTTCTTGCATCCAGAAGTGAATTTTTATACGAAACGGTTTTTTGCTGGGACACAGATGAAGCTTTAATAAAAAAAACGGGAGACGAAAACACGAGAATTCTTTGGCGCTATTCCTTTTATCGACAACAAATGTTCAGCTTTCCATGCAGGGTAATTTCCTCTTTTTTTGTTTCTTACGTTGTTGAGTAATTTTGTTTTTGAAGAAGAAGAAAAACAAAACTAATACTGTAATTGTTAAAGAAAAGAAAATCATACGTGCTATAAGAGAAGTAACTAAAGTTGATGTTCGTGTACGAAGAGAAGATCATCGGGACCTAACGCTTCATCGTCATTTAAACTTATTATCCCTGTTCTTCCTTATGTGTTAGAATATAATAATTGTGTATTAGATAGCGTTGTACAAACAAACAAAAAATTAGCGACTTAGGCAGGATTAATCAATCAATCAATCAAATTATTTATTTGTGTCTCCACGTCCAGCATTGACGGATATTTGCCCGAAGTTAAATGAAATTTAAAGTAATTATGAACAAAACCAACCCTTCAACAGACGCAGGTACTTTGGGAGCCGAAGGGCTTGCGTAATGCTCAAGAGTATATTCATGTACACCATAAACCTATTTCAAACCCTTGATGTTAGCAGCTTCAAACTAACACGTTAAACGTGAATTTCATTCAACTTCGGACGAGTATATACGTTGATGTAATTAATAGAAGGAAAATTAAGAAAATCGTATTTATATTTTAGCTACACCAAAACTATAACACAGAACACGAGAAGAGGAAAAGTAATAATTTTGAATCACATAATTTTTGTACTTCTATATATGTATAAATATAAATCATACAAATATATATATATATATAAATAAAAAAATAAATATTTCTATAAAATATTGATGAGAAAATCCAAAACATTATTGCTTTTTCCATTCATTTCAACTACTTTCTGTAACCTATTGTTTATATCGATTTCAAGTAAACGAAGAGAAATATTGTTGTTAACATCTAGAGTCAATTGCTGTAACTTAGCTATTTCTATAAATATATATATTAAAATAATTATAATAATAAATTACATAAACGGACATTATTTTATATTTTTCAATGTAAAGTTTTCAATGAAAAGTAAATATTTTAAGCCATTGTAATTCAACGTCCTGTACCATAAATGTTAGTTTAAAAAAGGAAATACTAAGATGAGAAGGTGAAGGGAATAATTATATTTAGTATATATTGTTGTACATATGTATTTGGTGGATGTAATGTGCCGATTTTTGCGTATTTGACAATATTGAATTTGAAACCGCGGAAAGTACAAGTGCAGTTTTTATTAATTTTAACTTTACGTATGTAAATAATAACAAAAGATAAAAAATTAAAATTTCATAAAGAGGTTTATTACATCCACGCGTATTAATTGTGATTCTTTTCAACTTCAAATTGTACTTTTAATTAATAAGATATACGTTGTTAGCAATACGAGTTCTTATACTTCATTTGATGACTGACTTGATCGCTTCTCCATTTATCCATAGTTTATATATTTATTTTTTCAATTACTATTATTATCCTTATATATTATTGTACTTTACATTTATTGTTACTCTTTTTATTCAATAAATTGTTATATACAGTGTAAATAAATGATATTTCTTCAAAAACAACTCTCACTCAAACAATTGCAATAAACAAATATTGTTATGACAACGCAACAGAATTCCCCCGACAACCTTATTCCTTTGTTTTAATTCGTAAAATGATAACTTTGTTTAAATATTTATACAACTTGTGTTACTTTCCTTCTTACTTCTTTCATTGTTAGTATTGCTAATGCTTGTAAGTTTTCTTTTGTCACAAAGATTATTTCGATCAAGTTCGATGCATTTGTTGAATCGATTCGCTCCTTCAAAAATCTGCTGAAAACCTCCCTGGGGAGGCGTGGACTAGTCTAAGGGGAGGCGCGAATATTAGTAGCAGTGAGCAATTTTCCAAATATCTGCTAAAGTATAGATACATTCCTGTGCTCTTATCCATATTAATGTAATACGCGTTCAAAGTTGAAAAATTGAAATTAGAACGTTCGAAAAAGCAGTTTTCAAATTTCATTGATTTACTCAAAAACTATAATAGATAAAATGAATCCAATATATGCATATGAAATCTGAATGTATGGGGAATCCAATATGTATAGATATATTACTGTGGTTTTATCCGTTTGGCTTTAATTCGAGTTCAAATTTGAAAAAATGCTCGAAAAAGCAGTGTTTTCACATTTCATTGATTTTCTCGAAAACTATAATAGATAAAATGAATCCAATATATGCATATGAAAGCTGAATGTTTGGGGAATCAAGCAAGTATAGATACATTCCTGTGCTCTTATTGCTGTAATACGCGCTCAAAGTTAAAAAAATGAAATTAGCAGTGTTTTCACATTTCATTG